CTCTGAGCCTACCAACGAGTTTATAGATCCAATCGATCGTCCTTTCCCCCCTCCTTTGCCAGTGACCCATGTCACCCGCGCTGTTTAGTTGACTAAGCCTTCCCATCATCGATCGATATATGACACTTTCTCGTCCATCGTGCCTTGATGCGAACATTTCACCACCTGCACCTACTTTCGTGATTCACACACCAACGTGACCGGTCGGTCGCACGCATGACTGAACTGATGTACACACTACACCAGAACCCAAACATTGTCACCAGCCCCATTGGTTGTCTCTTCTCTTCCATTTGATTGGTTCATTGTCGGTCATCGGACCCCTGTGCGTATTGAACCATCTAGATGTACGGCGCAAAGTCGGCTGTTAACCGGGATCCAATCTAGAAGTGAACGCTCGGCCTTGACACTCAGCGCAATCTCAACACCAGCAACACCGCGAGCTTCGGATGTCGAATCGCCTGACACAGTGAGAGTGACGCGTGAGGATGAGGTTGGATCTGGAGAACACAAGATGATTATATGATGATTGTATGTTTTTCGGAGACAGGATACATCTAAATGGAAGGTTTCAAGGGTTCTAGCTAAGGCAGCTTCTTGACCAATCTGATAGTGTGCGGACATTAAACGCGACTAAGTGGAAAGGAGATTTTGGTTTCGAAAATCGGATAGCCTCTGAGTGGTTAGCTTCATTAGTTGAACGTTGGGTAGTATCCCATGGGTGGCGCAAACAGAATGCATCTCTTAAGGTATGGAGGTGAGAAGAGGAAATAGACAATTGAGAAAGACGGTTCTCCAGATGGGTACCTTAGGCTTTTCGGCACGGCATACTTAGCGGTTGCCCACGAAGGGGTTTTTCTTTGGGAACCCTAACCGGAGCCTTCAACTCAAAATCCAACGCGGGAGCGTGAACGAATCACCCGTGTGGGAGCTCCTAGAGACCTGTCACACAAGGCCTTTGAATTTCCGTTAAGTTTGTTGTTCGCTGGTGCGCTGATTGTCGCTGTACTTTTCGGGATCGGCCCTTATCCTCATGCACCCAATGAGACAAGCGGAACTTGGACGACACAGCACCTTATTGGCTGGGGGCTGCCCAGCTTGGGTGGGTGGTAGCTGTCCAATGAAGTGCGAAGACTTCTCGCACCGTCGAGAAGCCCCAGGTACCCCGCTACTACGTCCATCTAACAGGTTTTTTTACTGGTAATCTGCCCCTCACCGTGGTTATTTACTGGAGTGACCTCTGCAGGGGTGGGTGTGGATAGAAAAGGAAGCCAGGTGCCCAAGCAGCTGACCTTGTGAGACTGATGCTCGTCCGGCCTCTACCCCTCGACCTTTCAGGCATGATTGGATCTGCGGTTGAGCCGTGCTGTATAGCTCGCAGGGTCATTGAGGTGCGCAAGCCATCACACCACGCCAAAGTGCAGTCTCGTCGTGATGGTTTTGACATAGCAGAACACTGTTTTTCTCTTGGTACTTTATAGTAATTTATTCTCCAACCTTGTATTGAAGACGCGCTATCTTTCGATTGTGCCATGACAGTGAAAGCTCGCGCTCACCGAATTGCCTCACGATTCAAGGTTTGTAACTTGTATTCGTAATCATGTTTGTAGCAATAGTACCGCATTTCAAGATAATCTCGTCTTCTGCTGACTTCGGGATTTGCGCGTCACTCGATCGTTAGGACGGATTACCAGTGTGCAATCCACATCACAGAACCTTCTCAAGAGATCCTTTTTCTTTCGCATCTTATTACAGCGTGAATAAGTACCGATCGAATGTACCGTTTGTTGTTCTTAATGATATAAGACAATAAATCCACGAGTAGTACTGTAAACCTTGTTTACCAATTCCACGATATCAAATCAACCAGCAAGTGAGGCATCCTAAACAAACCATGACCGTAGCTTGAACCAGCCAATAACCTACTATGTTATTCAAGATGATTCTCATTAGCAAGGTCGCCCGAAACGAATGACCCAGTCGCCCGAGGGATAAAAAATAAAAAAGAGGAACAAGTTGAACAATAATCTAATAACTATACGTGTTGATTTAAGTGTCGCACGCAAAAAGTGCGTAGGCGATTGATCAAAAATAATAAACTAAGACTAAGAACTAATTCAATAAGAGGACAGCTTACACGTATCATCACTGATGAGGTTTCGTTACATCACAGAATGAGACGGAAGCCGGTAACACGTGACTAGCGTACTGAACGCAATCATTTACCACAACACTTCACTTGAGAATTATACAACCGATGAGGTTCTCGGAGAAATAAGGGGAGGGGAGGGTGGAACAATGCGGATAGTGGAGATGAATCCCGTGAACGAAACCGATTCACCAAAATGGACTATCACTAAGCGAACGGAACTGAACAGCCATGGAATGATGTCTACAAATATAAAGCACGTGATGTGGGTAGCACTACAGTCAATGGATTAACTACAATGTGTTTTGGAAGGGGTAGAAGTTCAAACATGACAACTGTTCCGTTCAATGCTACCACAGAAAATGGAATCTTACACTGACTGAGACAGATAAGAATTACATGCATATGCATAGAGTATGGGGTATACCCCGGCAGCACCGGGCTTGGAGTAAAGCCAAGGGGATGGTAGGGGCAGGCATCAGAAAGACAGAAGTCGGCTGCATGTGTACTATGAATAGGTGCAGTATATCAGAAGAGGTATAACCGCGCCTGCAGTTAAGCAGCCACAGGAACACATACATACACTGGAAACTCGATTCCATTGTCTAGATACACAGCGGGACAGTAATGTGCATTACAATGACGGACTAGGCACTTACGGTGGTGGGATTATTCAGGGTGGGAGAAACTGTGAAGGCAACGGAAAGGTGCAGAAACGGACTGCCACTAATAAATAGAGACAGTTTACTACATGGGAGCAGTAATTTTAGGACTTGGGCACAATGACTTTGCGGCGAACGAAGTCCACGCTGACATGAGGAATCGGGCGAGTGTTTGATGTTGTTCTGCACTGATTGGTGTCGAGCGAGAAGCATCAAACTTGTGCTCGATAGCATCCTGTGGCTTGATTCTATTTTGTGAAAGTGAGGGTTTCGGTGGGTACGGGCAATGCGCTGCGGTTTTGCGAACCGATGGTTGTGCAGTGGCAACATAAGGGCGTGGCACATAGGAATCTATACTTCGATCCGACTGCCCCGAGATGGAGGCGCCATCTGACGCACTTGTAGAATTTAGTGTTCTATAATACGAGTGGTTGTGCGGAGCGGTGGAGTGGTTTGTCTCAACGAACCCTTTTGAATCAGCAGGTGATGTAGGAATGGATTTATGATATGATGAAATGACATTAGAATATGATTTGCGAAAAGGACCGCGAGGTTGGGTAGATGATGAAACTCGAAGGACTGCTGATGGTTTATTTCTACAGGACTGAAGAGATGACACTACTGGTGTGGGTGAGTTCGGGGTACGCGAACACTCCAGATTCCGTTTTTCAAGCTTTAGCTTACGTTTGTTTTTTTTATTTGTTACCAGTGTGAAATCTCCATCAACAGAAGTATCCTCTTGGATGTTTGCTCTCGATGAAGCAGATGCGCTGCGAGATGCACAGCTGGACACGGTACGGTTGTGACTTGCTGCTTCGCCGATATCAGGTGTGGGAGGACGTTCATCAATCGTGTTGAGACTAGGTGTCGAACACGGGGAGGTTGGATTCTGTACACTAGATGTGACATCGCACAAAGTCTAGGTTTGCTCAGACTGTTGGTCGCATATAGGCTTCTGATTATTCTGCTCC